ACTCACTGACTCGGCACCCTCTCCCCCCACTCACTGACTCGGCACCCTCTCCCCCCACTCACTGACTCAGTGTCCTCTCCCCCCACTCACTGACTCAGTGTCCTCTCCCCACCCCTCACTGCTGTCATCAGGTGACTCTTGTAGGTCTTGCTCAGCCCCGTAATCCAGAACTTCAGCAGCCGGACGTTGTCATCCTCGCCAGGCCCCGTGGCCCCGAGCAGTGCTAGAACCTTCTGGGTGTCCTCACGGCCCCGTCCATCCACTTTAGAAAACTTGAAAAGCACCTTAACTTTGCTGAAAGAGTGGTGGAAAGAAGGAAACATCAGCTGACTAAATGAACCGTGAGGAAGATGGATCCTGATGTTCCTGGCAAGGATTCTATGAAAACAACAGCAAAGTCAAGGCTAAATTAGACATATTTACTTCATCCATTCCTCTTTCAGACACAGGAGACAGTGTGACACCACCTCTACGGAAAGGTTCTCATTGGACAAAGCCACTTCCACCTTGTTGAGCAGTGTAGGGCCTGAGTAAGAGACATTGAGAGAGAGAGAGAAACAGAAGACCTCAGAATAAGGACGGGGTAACAAATGGCCTCCCCTCTCACCACAGCACTGGGCGTTAGGCCTACCCCTGTCTGTAGGCTGTGTGTTGGCACTGCTGATGTTGAACTGGTAGAGGGAGAGGATATCATCGTCGCAGACCGCAGGGTAGAGGGAACCTCGCTCTGCATTGACCACGTCAACTAGCACAGCAAACTCTGTAGCCAGCATGGTAATTGGGGGGGGGGGGACATACCATCGCAACCACAATAAATACATCCACATCTGCAGTTCACATTCAGTTAAAAATCTAAGAGCTCAAAGACTCATGAAGGTATTACTTCTGCCCATCAAAACTGTTAGAATCCTTAAGTCTCAGAACTGTTACAGATTAGTGCCAAGGGTAACCTGAGGAGCTGACGTGGGCAGGGATCGGGACGTCGGGGCTCAGTCCCAGGAAGTTGCAGCGATAGGCTTCTTCGTACTGGGGGCTGTAGGGCACTGACCTCACACAGCCTACTGGGAGCAGAGCCTGATGGGACACCAGAGGATCGCACTCAGGGCTATAGTGGTACAATAACAAACGCGCTTTGAAGCAGGCGACTGCAGACCTTGAGCACGCTGAAAGCCGACTGGATGAGTGAAGGGTCTGGTCCTCTCCAGATAACCTGGTTCCCCATCAGCACATGCCAGGCCAGCTGTCGGAACTCTACTGCACCTAGAACCTGAGCCATGAAAAACAACATATCTAACTTTGTGTTCCAGATGAATAACTGTGGTGGATAAGCATGCATTTCTAACGGAGCTGATGTCGTAATTCATAACATTTAATTCTGTACGCATTTTATCATACTATAAACTGTACATTCTTCAAGTAATAGGATTTTTTACTTACTTGTCTTAAGTGCCTTAAGGATTTGAACTTTGGCCCTGGCAACTCCTCCCCTTTTCCACCGTCGCACAGGAAGTCCCTCCCGAGTTCATTATCTGACTGGTTGCGCTGAGGTAATGAGCAACCTCCTTCTGCTCCTTCCCACCCAATCATTTCTTCTTCTTGTTCTTCATGTAGGACATTCAGAATTACATAATCAGTATTTTTGAAAGAACAATGTTAAGTAATGGGGGCCAAACTGACATCGACAAGGTTTTCGTTCACTCTATGAACAGAAATGGCGCATAGCGTATTACTTTTTATAATTTAATTCAGCATGTTGGATTTATTCAAATATTAGAAGAGGATTAAAATGACACTGCCTATTTCATTGAAAACAGATGTTTAATCACACAGTCAACTACGAAAATGCACAGAGAAAGATTCTACATCAACTTAAATGCACTACAATACCTTCAAGCTAAAAGCTAAAATGTAACATTGTCTACAATCAAACTAAGCATCAAACTCTGGGTGGCAGAGTACTCTGTGGACCACATTACAGTGACATTTTAAGGGAAAACAAAGGTGCTGTTTTGGAATCAAGGTGCACACACCTGTCTGCCTCTCGATGAGCACCAGCGTGTCCTCCGTGGGAGCTCCTTCCAGAAGCTTCTCCGTGAGACGGCTCCCGCAAGCCTTCAGCAGCCTCGGGGAGAAAGGACACACACGTACATGCACACCGTCGATACGCGGACATGAAGGTGGCCCAGGTGCTGGCTGCAAGCTCAGGGTGCTTAGGGTGCAGCTCAGCCAGAAGAAGGGAGGAGGTCTTAGACGGCCTACTGGGGGAAGAGAGCGATGGAAGCATACCAGCTGAAAGAGGAGTGCAGGCTGGCCCACAGGTCGGGATGCTGCGTCAAGGAGGGAAGGGAGCGGGCCGCGTTGCCGCTCCTTTGGTGCGGAAAGACAGCCGGGGAGAAAACACTGTTCATCCTCACGGCCCTCTGTGGGCAGACGCACTGCTCGCTGTCGAACACCTGGCGGGGAGAGGAGAAGCCATGAGCACCAGAGGCACCCCCAGCTCTAAAAACCGCTTTGTCACACAGAAAGCACGTCACACAGAGGAAGAGAGCAGTGTCATCACGATACCAGAATTTCAAACATCAATACGATATCAAGAAAAGTATTCAAATTCAATACAGTTTTTGATACCCAAAACAGGGTAGAGGGAACCTTGCTCTGCACTGACCACGTCAACTAGCACAGCAAATTCTGTAGCCGGCATGGTCACTGGGGAGGGGGGCTGGTCAGTAAAAAAAGCTCAGTAGCTTTTTTTCAATTGCAATTTTGTTGAAGTAAAAACTTTATAACCTTTTATAACAACATTAAGTGCAGCAGTCGCCATTGTAATTGTGCTGTAATTGCATTTATAGATATTCACGAGCAGTAAATGCTATTAAAAATTTGAGGACCTCACAAGATCGCATTGAGCCCGAACACAACCCACAGGTAAAAAAATAACTGCAGGCTGTTTTCTTAATTAACGGCCACAAAGAAATGTTTTAACCTGTAGAAAATATGCACGTCACAACTGTACTTCAACCGCAACAGGCTCATAAAGATTAATATTTCATTCATTCAGAAATGATACCTATATTGCGAAACTCTTTGTATTGCGTTGCGTGTCATTTAACTGTTGAGCTGATTTCATGGGGTTTGCCCCATTTTTTCAGTATTCTGCACTACTTGCATACAGGCTTGCAAATATCCCGTGGTTTACCATCTTCATTTGGCACAAAGCCACTGTATTTCCAGATGCCATTGTGGCTACACCGTTTATCGATTATGTGCAGTGGTGAAAGCCCTGACGCTTGACTGCATTCTGGCCGTGGCGTGCGCCCTGGTAGCCTGCCAACCTCAGTGGTCAGAGCAAACAGCAAGTGCAGGCTGTAGAATCGACACCGTGGAAAATCAGCATCGAAAGTGTTTTATACTTGATATAACTCGAGTTACAGGAGCCAGCAGAGGCCCTGGGGGCAGTGACCTGTGAAGGTGGAATGGCACACTGTACCTTCAGAGCCGTGTTCTGGAGGCCCTGGATGGTGAGCTTCAGGTGCCGAAGTAGGAAGGGCCAGGAGTTGATGAGGTAGATCCTATCCATGGCCACGATGACAATGCTGTACCAGCGCTGGAAGCCCCGCGCCAGGCTGTCCTTGATAAAAAACGTGTGGGAGAAAACAAAGCCGTGCTGCTCGTCCCCGAAAAATATAGGGCCCTCCCTGCCTGGACAGACCTGTGTGGGGAAAGACATGGGCCAGGTGTAAGCTTACTGAGGCAACAGAGTCTCTACAAGAGATGTTGTCCCCCACAAACGGCTCTTGCTAAAGCTTAAAGCTGCAGGGATTTTAGGAACTGTGGCAGCTTGGATCGAAAACTGGCTAACTGAAAGGAAGCAGCGAGTAGTTATTAGAGGCACAATGTCACAGTGGGCCTGCGTTCATAGTGGGGTACCGCAGGGTTCAATTTTAGGACCACTATTGTTCCTAATTTACATTAATGATATTGACACAAATACATACAGTAAACTGGTAAAATTTGCAGACGACACCAAGGTGGGCGGTGTAGCAGATACTGATCTAGCAGCAGAGAGGCTACAACGGGATCTTGATTTAATTAGCGAATGGGCTGATACTTGGCAGATGAAATTTAACACAGATAAATGTAAGGTAATCCATGCAGGGAGCAGAAATATAAAGTACAGATATTTTATGGGTTCCACTGAAATAAAGGTAGCTGAATACGAGAAAGATCTCGGTATGTATGTTGATGCTTCCATGTCCCACTCTCGCCAGTGTGGGGAAGCAATAAAAAAGGCCAACAGAATGTTGGGTTATATCTCTAGGTGTGTGGAGTTTAAGTCAAGGGAGGTGATGTTACACTTATATAATTCCTTGGTAAGACCCCACCTAGAATACTGTGTGCAGGTTTGGTCACCATACCTCAAGAAGGACATTGCTGCCTTAGAAAAGGTGCAACGAAGAGCTACGAGAATGATTCCTGGTCTTAGAGGAATGTCTTATGAGGAGAGGTTAGCGGAACTGAATCTGTTCAGCCTTGAGCAAAGGAGACTAAGGGGGGATATGATTCAGGTCTATAAGATTCTAACGGGTCTGGATGCTGTTCAGCCAAATGACTATTTCAATATTAGTCTAAATACTAGAACTTGTGGCCATAAGTGGAAATTAGCGGGAGAACATTTTAAAACAAATTTGAGGAAGCACTTCTTTACACAGCGTGTAGTTAGAGTATGGAATAGTCTTCCTGCTAGTGTAGCGGAAGCTAAAACCATGGGTTCCTTTAAATCAGAGCTAGATAAGATTTTAACAACTCTGAGCTATTAGTTAAGTTCTCCCCAAACGAGCTTGATAGGCCGAATGGCCTCCTCTCGTTTGTAAATTTCTTATGCTCTTAAGAGTACGGAGAAAGGCGTCCGTCAGGGGGTTATAAGGCTTGGACTGAACTGAGAGCATATGGTCTGAATGTTAAATAGATCCTTAGGCTGTTATCTTATGTGTGTCACAAAAATATGCGAAGCAAGGGTGAGAATCATAAATGGGGGGGGAAGCCTGGTGGTACCTCTGTTTATTGTGAGAAACTGGTGCTGTAAAAGAATTATTACTGGGGAGGAAAGTTGAAGGATGCAATGGCAAGGAGTAATGGTTAAAAAGGGGAGTGCCCAAATCGCAGAAGATAACAAATCAGGTGTAAAAGGAAGCTCGGGAACTCTACACAGTTGAGATATTTTGTATGAGCAGAAAGTGTTTCCCTTGATCTTATGGAGATTATTAACGAGCGACAGCAAAGCCCCCTCCTGTCTCTCATTGAGGGCGGCGTCGTGGATGGTGATGGGGCAGGGCAGAGAGAGGGAGAGTGGAAGGGGCTGGCAGACATACCTCGCAGCTGAGGCTGCGCACACAGGCCTGCCGGACCACGCTGAACAGCTGTGGCTGTCTGGGGTGCTGGTGGCTCAGGAAGCGGATCCCCGTCTCATTGTCCACACTGACGAAGCCTGGGTGAGAGGCTGGCAGCGAGCGACAGCCCTGCCCAAGAGCAAGGTACAGATGGGAAGGCAAGGAGTAGAATGTAAGACTGAACTAGCCGTAAACCAGCCATCCATCTCTCATCCGGCAGCTTTTAAAGTACAGGTTCATGGGGGGGCAGGTTGGTGCCTATAAGAGGCAATGGAGTGGGGGAAAATAATCAATTTGTTTAAAAATCACAATCCTTTGTGGTGATGATTTTTATATCGCTTATGACAGTTCAAAATTCAATTTTAAGTTTCAATTTAATGGTAGGTTACTATAATTATGCTGGTCAGACTACTGTTAATATATTTTCCCAGTTGCACACATTTTTTAAGGCACTGACATGCGTAAGTTTGGCACAGTGCTATCATGAATAGCACAGAGACTTCACCAGCACTGTCTGAATTTCAGCAAACTTTGGTTGCTATAGAATGAACAGACAGGTGACATGAGAACAGCTATCTGCAAGATCTGCCACAGTACAGTTAGTCTAAATAAAGTGGTAATACCACTGACGTTCACACACATATTTCGTGACACAACCCGGACTTGGATGACCACAAACCCACAGCTACATATGCAAGGCTGCAAACTGTTGACGCAATTTTAAACATCCTTCCAAGCAGTAGTTATCAAGCTAAAATAATACTGTATGCTGTAAAGCAGGGGTGGCCAATATTATCTACAAAAGGCCGGTGTCAACAGTATGCAGATTTTTGGGATAACCTGTAGGTCAGCTGTTCAAACTCAGGTGTGAGGACTCTTCAGCCAATCAGTCCTCTAATTAGTAATCTAATTAGGGAGTTGCAGCGAAAACCCGCATACACACCGGCCCTTTGCGAATAAGATTGGCCACCCCTGCTGTAAAGGCTGTCATTCTGGTGTGCATATCACTTGACACAGTTCTGTTCTCTTAACTGCTAAAAAGCTGCTCCTGCTGTAGGTGCTGGAGATTGTACTGAACAGTTTCATTTTGATCACTTTGTCTTAAGGATTATTTGATTAAAGCTCAATAATGGCTCTTAATGGAAGCAGATAGTCTCTAAATATAGACCTGTGTCACCATGACAATACCTCAGTAATGTTGTGAAATTAACAGAAAGCAGTTATGTTGTTGGCGCCATTTACGCTTTTTTCTTTCAGGGCTTTTTCTAAATGAATGCAATGACGGTGTTTCTAATGAGGACTATGAAGTTACCTAGTTTTCTGGCTATGTGGACAGCCTCTTTTTGGGGTGTTCTTAATGTATCCTTTTTGGGTTGCTGTTTGTGTACCATTGTTATACCAACGTATTAACATGTTTTTATACTGCTTGGAGCTGGTACTCTTATTGGGGGGGGGGTCTATTTTCTCTGTATTCCAAACCACATAATATAACTGAGGATGACAACAAATGCAATATAGAATATGTTTGTAATAAATTATTTTTTTTTCATTTGAATTATTATAAATTATTTGAACAATTTATGAGATGAATAATATTTTAACTGGTCCCTGGGATTACATTTTAAAGTAGCTTTCATGTAGCTCCGATATATATGTGATTTAGAATAACTAGTAGCTTAGCTTGCTACATGTTTTAAGTAGCTTGCCCAACACTGACCATTACACATATAAAACAATACATGCAACAGTTCAAGCCACTCATTACAACACTGCACACTGCAAACCTACTGTAATTACAGCCTCTCCTACAGTTACTTTTACAATTTCAGATATAACCTCGCCTGCCAACCTACCGACACCTGCTATAAAAAAAAGTAACAAAGAGCGAGAGCTCGACGTGAGCAGGAAAAGGGCACAGCTGACCTCACACATGTCCGCCCTCTGCGATGCAGACCCGTTGGCCCGCATGGTGAGTCCCTCCCCCTCTCGGTCCGCCTCCCTGTCCCTATCTCCGGCGATGGAAAGGCCAGGTTGAGGAGGGGATGGAGATGGGGGGTGAAGAGCTTCGGTGCAGAACAAGGTCCGAGGGCCATGGAGCTCGCAAAAATGGCACAAAGCCACCAGCGCATTCATCTATAAAGAAGAAAAAGCAGTTAAAATTAATATAATTTCAGGGAGGAAAATCTAAAATTCCCATGTAAAACTAGCAGACATATACAGTATATATTGCTGAAGTCAATAAAGTGGGATTTACTGTCATATCATCCATGCACTGGTATACTGTAACCCTATAAATAACATTTGCCCAGGACCACCGTGGGACATACAAACATCATGTGACAAGGGTAAGGTTCCACCTACATAAAGTGCAAAACACCGGACACACAGGGGGCTAGACACATGGTTGATAAACACAAATTACTGGCTATAGCTTGCCAGTTATTCCATTTCCCAAGATATACTAAAATGAAATTCAAATAGCTAATTACTGATAGATCAATGCAGTTTCTTAAATTATAACAACAAATCGGTTAGTTAGTCAGCCACGCGACAAGGTGTAAAAATATCTACCGCTAACCTGGAAAATTAGCAAGCTTTGACACATAACATTGTACTTCTAAAACTGTCATTACAGCAAATATTGCAATGCATAAGTGATAAAGCAATTAAGTCAGGAGCCCTACCTTCGCTGGTCGCCCTAAGTAGCCAAATGCTTAAAACACCCCAGTCATAGCGATGTTTTTCAAAACAATTCGGCCACTTACATGCCGTCGAGACAGAAACGGCCAGCTCCTCTGAACTAGAGAGACGAACGTTAACGATAAAGGAGAATTAATTATATAAATAACGGTTTCTAAAGTGGAATAATGGTTTACTTCCCGAGTATGACAGAAAATCAGTCGCCACGTCTCGCCTCGCACGCACGTCATGTGACAGCGAGAGTCACGCGCATGCGACACCACAACATTCGCACGTGACACAGCAATCCAGACACGTGACCCACCAAGCCGTATTGTGTCCCCGATTCGATTTAGAACTGAGAACTAGTCTTTTGGATGAAAATTGAGTTAACCCCATGGTATTAAGTCACTTTGGCTTAAATCTTTATGCTTCATCTTAATATAAAAAGAGTTGCGGTGCTGCTTAACTGCTATTTAAGAGCGAAGCGGCTTGTGCGTATTGGCTAAAACTCTTAGCTTTATGTTAAGCAAATGAGGTGTAACATTACATTTCACTTACTAGAAATATATTCAGAATTTACGGAATGAATCATACCTTCCTAAAAGCATTATTTCTGCAGTGTGGACTGTCTATTTTTACCCTTTTATTGCCATGATTGCGCATTATATAGCCAGCTACATCTCACAGTGTTTCACTTCCTAGTTTGATCACCAAGAGCACGGACGCAACTAACTGGACAATCCAGAAGGTAGTAATTATAATGTTTAATTTCAGGTCTGATTCGTATTTGTTCAAATACCATATACTGTATTTGAACATATACTGTATTTAATTTGTATTTTAAGTATTCTCACTACTAAACTTAAACGCCTCCTGTAAAGCCATTTACGCATAATGATGTTACGTATTATATATGGATTGGAAACTTTCTTGATATATTATTCATAATATTGTTATTCACCAAACGAGCTTTAGCGAGTTTACCTGTTTTGTTTAAGATTGATGTCACACAAGTGAAAACACTCGGATTACGTCATCTCTGTAAACTTCCTGCTTTTACTGATATTGTTAAATGTATCATTCATTATGTAGTGATACTGAAAGTGTTATTCTAAAAGTATTTTGAAATTTGAAATGATTGCTTTTGTTTAGTGTCCACCTTAAGGGCCTTAATCGTCATGCATTATTTGATTTATCTAATTTGGTACTTCAGTCATGGCTTCCAATGAATCAGCAAATGATAATGGCCCTAGACTGGTGTCTACATGTCCAACAGTTTCGACTGAGGAACAAGACCTGGCAGGTAACTGTCATACAGAAGCATCTAGAAATGTTTTGTATTAGTTTTACTGATAGTTAAAAGTAGTTCAGGGCAGAGAGAAAAAAATATTCCTGAATCTGGATTCTTGCATCCCACTTTTATTAAATCATCCATCTATTCATCACTGTAACCGCTTAATCCCAACTGGGGTCGCGAGGGGGACCAGAGTGCAGGCAGGAACCAACCCTGGGCAGGTGCCAACACACTTCAGGGTGTGTGCACGCACACACGGGGCCAACTTAGAGTTGCCAGTCAATCTATCGTGCACACTTTTGGCCTGTGGGAGGAAACTGGAGCCCCCGGTGAAAACCCATGTAAACATGGGGAGAGCATGCGAACTCCACACAGAAAGGTCCTACGCCCAACCCGAGGACCGAATCCAGGACCTTCTTGCTGTGAGGCAGCAGTGCTAACCACTGCACCACTGTGCTGCCCCCTATTGAATCATTACCTTTAATATACACTCTTAACAATATACAGATGGTTTTGAAGTGCGGGGGTTGGTATGTGGCTTGCCGAGTTAGGACCCTGTACCTGTGATCAGAAGGTTGCCTTTTCTATATCCATCGCTGGTAGAGGAATTCCAAAGTCAGGCCCATGAGTGAGGCCCCTAACTCCCAATTGATCCAGGGACTGGCTGACACTCTTTTCTCAATTGTATGTAGCTTTGAATAAAACTCTTCTAACGAAATTTTGATATTACCCACAGGGTCAAGAAAAAATTCTCAGTATGATGCTATGACGCATGTTGTCTTCGATATGTCTATGCCTTTATATCCTGTATTTTGTTGTATTTTTTTAAACCTTCCAGGAAGTGCCACGGGTGGGCAGCCAGAGAAACACGTGGGCATTTGCAAGTTTTTCCAGGAAGGCAGATGTCATTTCGGACACCGATGTCACCTGTCACACAGGTTTTTGCTTTTGTCCTTCTCTTTTTTTGTCCTGCTGATGTCTTGGTGTGTGAGGTACTGTAATATGCAATCGGTCCTCCTTGGCCTCTCTCTCTCTGCAGCATACATCCCTATACGGCGAGGGATGCGGAAGAGGGGCAACACGGAAAGAAAACCAGAAAGAATAAGAGTCCAAGAAAAAGTGACTCTTCACCGAAAAACGTAGAGAACGAAGGTGGGTGGGGGGGTTTTCCTTTTGATAGTGATACTCAAAGAGAGACCATCTTTCTGCAAATCATGACCATTGTTTTATTTAATGGAATAACATTCCACATGGGGAACTTTTTGATTATTTTGATTATCGAGTAAATGTGAGTTTCATCTCATTCTGTTTTTCCCATCAGAACCTTCTAAAAAGCCCCGCATGAGACCAGCCAACGAGGTTGTCTCCAGAATTTTGTGGGATTCATCTTTGAACCCAGAGCAGTTTGGGGTGGGATACCTTGACCGCTTTTTGGGGGTTTTGGAGCGTCCGTTTTCGGAGTTTTCATGGGACCGCGACGTGTGCAACTGTGACTACTCGGAGGAGCTTGCCATTCCACAGCACAGGATCAAGTATTTTACCTATAAGGGAAAAAAGATCTGGGATAGAGAAAACAGGATGGATGGTGTGTTTGGCTCCACAGGAGGGCCGCTGGAGCCACCTTTTGCTGCTGAGGAATCTGGAGAAGAAGGTGAGATCACATTTTGATACTTTGATAACCCCACAGGCCCAGCAAAGTAATGAATGAGCTGTGGTCTGCCAGGTTGGAGGCTTTCCTTGTTGTAATTAATATTGTACTGTAATTTCCAGCATCTGCTACCTATGAAAGCGCAATGGACCATTTAGATATTGATGCTCAGGATTTTGGAGAGACTCAGCACGACACCATCGAAGAAGCGCCCAACACAAGCAGCCATGTTCTTCCAAGAAGTGATATAAAACCCTCTTGCTTTGAAGCAGCTCGAAACGAAACAACACCATGTCCTCAAGAGATGGAGGAAGGCAGCTTAACTGACATCATAGCGGGTGATGATGGTGGCCTGGCAGACACGCCTTGCAAACATACGGAGGCTGGATCGTGGGGCACACAGGGTGGGGAAGGTGAGGTGGGCGTGCGGGGAGATGCAGCGGTGCATGGGCATGACTGGGACTCAGCCTTCACAAGACGACCCACGCTCGCCGACAGACATGATGATGATCTCAGGGGAGGTGCAGGCGAGGAGGAAGAATGGAAGGAGAGTTGGGATGGGAATGAAGAAAAAGCCCACCTGTCCTGGCATTTCCTGTCTGCTCCAGCGGTAGCTACACTTTGTTCTTTGCATGGACATATCTTGCCTTAGTCACAGCAAGTATAGGGATGATTGTTAGGAGTGATATACTGGTACGACTGGTTGACACCACACCTCTTCTGTAAACAGACCGATGATCAAAGGGATCAGTGTTGCCAAGTCAGCCTGGCAACATTGATTTATGTTTCTTAATGTGGTTTGTTATTGCTTATTTTGAATTTAGTTTGCAATAAAAATTCAGTCAGATAATATTAATATAATCCATCCATCTTCTGCCAGCTTATCTGGAACAGGCCCAGAGCCTATTCCGCGAAGCAAAGACACAAGGCCAGGAATCGCCTCGTATAGGACGCCACGCTGTCATAGGCACACACACAGTCACACAGTATGGGCACCTAGACGTGTGTCTTGTGAGTGAGGGAGCAAAGCTGTGCTACCTGGGGAGAGAATGCAAACTTCAAGGGGGGAGCGTTCAGATTTCACACGCAGGGCAGGCAGGATCCAAACCTCTAACCCAAACAATGTGAGGTAGCGCCATGCCACCCTTCCTTTATAATCAGTAATAAGCTTCCTCATTCCTATCTGCCTGTTGCTGTGCCACTCCTGTACGGGTATTTGCTGTTGGAAAAAGTAATTTTTTTTTGTTGTTTTAATTTTAACAGGATCCGATTCCGAAGTGTGCACAGCGTGCTTTGACCCGATCGGACCCTCTGGAACAGCGAAGCAAAATAAGCAGAAGAAGGCCCACCCACTTTATTAGCTTCCCGATGGACTCTCCTGCCTTTATCACTGGTTTCCAGCGCCTCCAGAAAGAGGTCACTGCAATCCTCCCCCTCTCTGAGCCCTACTGGCTCCCCCCGAAAAGCCTCCATGTCACCCTTTGTCTCCTTGCTCTCTCTCAGCCCCAGGAGGTTAACCTGGCATGTCAGATGTTGAGGCGGTTTGCCCAGAGCTGTTGGGCGGTTCCCCTGTCCATCTTCTGTTCACCAGAGCTGAGGGACTTTGGAGGCCGGGTTCTGTACCTCACCCCGCAGCCCTTATCTCAGATTCAGGCCCTGAACAGGCCCCTTCAGGAGCAGTTTAAGAAGAAGGGCTGGCTTCACAGAGATTCACTGTCTCCCAATTATCACCTGACTTTGGCCAAGGAGAAGGTCAATGAAGGTGAGAGGAATTTTAAAGGTATATGGGAGAAGGTCAAAAATGTAGAAAACGTGCGGACCATCGATTTCGGGAAGCTGGCTGTGGATAGGCTGTATTTATGTGCCATAGGGGCTTCCAAAGCAGCAGATGGGTCTTATGAGACCCTGTGTGCTGTCAGCCTTCAGGGCAGCCAGAAATGAGGGGTGAGGGTCCTGGGCACAGTGTGTCACAGGACACTTTATGTTTTATACTTTTACATGTAGCTGAATATTGATTTAAAAACATCCAGGGTACTTGCACTACACTTCTGGTTTTTAGTCAGGGATTCATGGGGGAAACATTGGGTATTATTTGAGTTACCTGGAATTTTAATTTAACCAATAAAAGAGAAAATCCAGAAAGATGTTGAGGATCGGCAAAGATTCTATTGTTGTCATAATTCTGTTTGCACTTTTCGCTTTTTTCCGGCAGCCGTTTTAATTTTTTATATTGGGAAGTGGCTGCATTTTTAAAATATATCTCCTTTAAATGACCTGCTCTTTAAATTACATTCACTGTCATCAAAACATTTTAGTAATCTTTACGGATGTTTTCTTGCCAGTTATATAACTACCAACAGATTTTTAAAAAAGATCTGAGTTGTCTTTGTCAAATTAATAAATGAATTTGCTAAATATACTAACTGAGTCATCGCAGTTATTTGGAGACCCTTTACCGCGTAGGAGCTCTGAGACTTTGAGGGTTAATGCGGCGCATTAATTTTGCATGCATAGCCTAATTAAGCCTGTCTTTCATCCCTCGCTAAACACACACACGCGCTGTGGTCTGTTGGACACGTCCGATATGTATAATGCACGTTCCCTCTTTGCTTTCTATCACTTGGCCGCCGTGCTCTATCTTCTTCTCCTCTGTTCACTCTCTTTATCTTTTAGCCTCCCTTCCCCCACACTTGTTCTCTCTCAGTGACACAGAAAAACCAACCTCCCCCCCCCTCCTCGTCACACTCCCCCCCCTTACCACCCACCTCCAGTCACACACAAACACCCAGTTCTCACTCTCGCCCTCACTCTATTTGTGTGTATTGTGTGTGTTTTTTTTTTTTTTTTAAATCCTTCTATTTTCTGGTCAAACCATCGAGGCTGTGTAGGAGAGAGCGTCCTTTCATATCTCTCTTTCTCTCACTCATTCCATCCCTGTCCTCCGTTTGTGTGTTTTGCTTTGTGTTATTCTGTCTTGACACATAGCTGTTGATATTGTTCTGGTCTCTATAAGAAGCTCTTTGTATGTACACATCTTTGCGTGCTGATTTGCTCTTTGTTGACATGAAAAGCTGCCTGTCTCTCGTTATTATCCATTAGACTTCTCCTTTCCTCTCATCCCCTCTCTCTCCCTCTCCCTGTATAAGTGGACTTACTCTCTTCTCTGAGTCTGACTCAATATAGGTGCATCTGTGCCTCTTGGCATTCCTCTCACTGAAAGAGTAACAGTCCATTTGCAATATACTATTTTTGGTGCCTGGAATTTGTGTACTTTTTATTTTTAAGTTTTGAAATTGTCGTAAATTTTTTGGGATTTTGGATTTCCCGAAGGATTTTTAAAATCACCATTGGATATATCTTTTTCTGTCCCTGTTTTTTTCTTTTGTGGATTTTAGAGCCTTTCGCTAACAGTACTGGAAAAATCACTCTTTTGTTTTTCCCCTGCTAAGCGTCTCAGCCCTGAGCTTCAACGTGAGACCCCCCGTCAGATCGTATTCCTCGCCTTGCTAATGAGCGCATGGCTGCTCACTAATCAGGGATATTGTCTGAGCAAACCATTGTGTCCTGAGTTCTGTACAGGGCTGCACGGAACCCTCAGAGAAACCACCCCCAATTCTTGAGGTCTTCTTCCAGGCTGAATATCTTTGAAGAGAAACCGTAAATTCAGCTACATAAGCACTTTTAATTTTTCTCATTGCGTTTTTTTCTTTTCACTGTTGTTCTTTGAGCTGCTTAGGAGATGAGAACTCATGTGAAGCTGTTTGCAATAATGCCCACCAGTAAAGCACAGTGACTGGGAAGGTTCTGATAAAGGCATAAAAGGCATAAAACTGGCATAAAAGGTAAGTTACAGATGCAGGAACAGGTTGTGTTTCTATTGTGGGCTAAATGTTTAAGCTGTTTGGGTTTTTGCCAGAACTTCTGCAATACGTTGCAGTCTAGTGATTTGCTAACAATGTGTCTATTATGGATTAACCTCAATGTTACTGTGCCATGCATCTAAAAAATTAATACAATATTACATGGAGATGAACTTATTGGCACTGTAAAGTTGTGTATAAGCAGGCATGCTTCAGGCTTTGTTCCCCTGCACATACTTTTTGAATACTGAACACTTCATTTTGGTTGTAGGTTTTTATTTCCCGGAGATTTTAAGCAGTTGTTTAAATGTTGTAATCATAATTAGGACAGTAGTGGTCTGCAGGGAACATGGATCATAAATTCAGAAAGGACAGTGACACTGAAACAATCAGCATTTATTGGGAGTTAGGGACCGTGATGCCACATGAAGGTGCCTTGTACTTGTCTGAAAGCTATGCTATAAGGTTTAATTCCCCCTTTTCCATTAAATTTTCCCTCTTCTATCCATGCATTTAAGATGATGTCATTAGCAGTAGCATGCTTCGACTTGACCTAACAGACTTGCTGCGACAATTTATAGTCATAGAACTCATAATGCGGGAAAACATCACTTGTGGATGAATAAGATGTTATTTTGGGATTAAGTGTACCAGGTTTGTACATGAGTGTGAGAGGCGTCTCCTGTCATTTGTAAATGTCTTCACACTCATCCTGTAGCCTCTGCTCCTGCTTCCTCCTCTTCTGAAAGGGCCTCCTGTTATGCAATACTGCCCATTGTGTTAACAAGCTGACAGAAAGCCTCACATAAATGTAATTACATTAACAATTACAAGACTCCAGCAGCAGCTTGCCAGCAACGCATCCCTGCGGACAGGTGCCTTCCATTTAATGCATTGTAGTCACACTGTGGAATGTGCACTAATCTGTATATATACTGTCTATAAGCGTGTGTGTGTGTGTGTGTGTGTGTGTGTGTGTGTGTGTGTGTGTGTGTGTGAGTAGTCCTATTGATCTGTCTTCGATAAGCATTGCACTTTGCTCACCACAGTTTGTCCACTGCAGGCGCTTAGGTCTATTGCATGTTAGGAAAACACAAGGCCTGCACTCCCAGTGTGCTTGCTGAAGCATCGATAAGGCCAATTGACAACTGGTGCATTGTGGGACTGGCGGCACCGGGGTCCCGTGCACTGACAGTGTGCGTGTTTCATGCATTCCCTTGCTTTGCTCTGTGGGTGGGGTGTCAATAGGGGTCATAGAGGTTTCTCTCTTTGTCTGCAGTGATGTCCATAGCATCGCCTATGATATGTGTCACTGAGAGACGCCCTTTCTCCAACTTCATTTATTCTAGGCACATTTCCCAAGATGCACTACCTGCCCATTCCCTCTCTAATCTGCGCTCATGTTGCTCTCGTTGAAGGTTGGGAGCCATGGAGGCAGTTCCTGGCTACTCCCCGTCTTTCTGGGTGAGGGTGTGTCATGCCCTACCTCGGCTGGACTTCAACCTGCAAACCCAGGACAACGTCTTCAGCCCCGACAGCTGGGAGTACCAGCAGGTAAGGCCTCCATCTGGCCCACGCTCCCTGCCGGAGATGTGGACAAAATCAAGGCTCAGCAACCTAGAGCATATCACGAAAACACAAACTGTCTCAGTGAATGAAGAGTACCAGCTTTTTATTCAGCATAGCCATATATACCTCGCTGGTTGGTTCATTGCATATACCACAGTAATATTACATCATAGGTTTCTAAACTAGCTAAGCTGCATGTTCTCTGCTGTGTTGCTAATTTGTTGTTTAATGGCTAGAAAAAGAGCATCAGAGATATAGAGAAATAGCAGAAACACTGCAACCCTTCAGTTTAGCTAGACTTGTGAAGCTCATATGTATTTCTACTCTGCAACATATGAGTAAAACATAAAGCTCTATGAGTTGGATTTGTTGTTTAAATACATTCACTTAAGGGAGCCACTGTGATTTAGCCCCATGGCTAATGATGCATTCCATTCGCCTCGGGATCCGATATTCGGATTCCGAGATTACGTTACATCCGCTAAAAACTCGGGAAAACCGAGTCGGATGCGTTCCATTTGCCACAGAAGTAGCAATACCATGGACCCATATGAAAAAGCAAGATTTTTTGCTTAGCCGGACAACTTGTCGGATTTAAGATACCTCAGTTTAAATGGCCTTTATCTTCGTTCACTTATCTTATGAGTTCACTTACGACTGAAATCCAATTCTAGCCCGGTTAATTGGTAGCCATTGTTAGCAATATCACTTGATAACACATTACGCGCGGTGCTTCACGTATAAAAACTCTGTAGCAACATGTCCACAGATAAGTTGGATGGTATAGTGTGTGCGACCGATTTAATGAGCCACAAATGAGAAGTAGTGCTTAAACAGGATGAAACTACAACTTTCCCTTCTGTTGATAAAGGGCGCAGCCATCTTGGATTCTGAACTTGGGATCCTCTGTGCCAGGGGTACCCAATCTTATCCGCAAAGGGCCGGTGTGTATGCGGGTTTTCACTGCAACTTCCTAATTAGATTACTAATTAGAGGACTGATTGGCTGAAGAGAGGTTTGAACAGCTGACCTAAAGGTTACCCCAAAAACCTGCATACACATCGGCCCTTTGCGGATAAGACTGGGCACCCCTGCTTTGTGCTGTCTGAGATATTTCTCGGATCGCCGAGAAACCGAAGCACGCATGTAGTCACTTCCGGCTTCAAAACTCGTAATCCGACTCGGAATCCGAGATCCGAGGGCAAATGGAATGCAGCATAAGTACATTTACAGCAAATCACGTCACCAATATGCAGACAGCGCTTGATTTCTGCCAAAAGATACCTGAAGCGGTGGCCTGATATTAACCCTGAGCCGAACCCTCTGCTTGATCTTTACTGCTTGCATGTGAATGAGTTCTAGGGCATGGAAGATGTGTCCAGCAAGCTGCTACAGATAGCACAGGTCATTCTGAAATTCATTAATTTTATTTTATTTGTTTAGCAGATCCTTTCATCTAAAACAACATGGGTTAGCCCGGGCTTCATTGTTTTTTGTTTGTTTGTTTGTTGAGGGTCTCATTCTAACATGTTTGAGATTAAAACCCCTGAGCACTGGCAGGGCTCTCTGTGCAAAAGGTCAGGAAACTGAGAAGCATCGGGAATAACTGGACTTTGACATGTAAGGAATGGATGCACCAAGCATTGACTATCACACTGTAGATGAAAGCTGGAGAAGCGGTGGGGAACATGGTTTGTGAGACCAGGTGATTTAACTGACTGAATATGATTATGGATGCAGGAATTGCATTGCTGGTTAGCACAGATGTCTTTATGGATATCGCTTACAAAATATTTGAATTAACAAGCCATCTGTTTTGAGACTCCCAGAAAGATTAGAAGTACGTGAGTTAAGATTACAAATAACAGTCCTTTGATGACGCTGATTGGTGAATAAATTTGGGGCCGCAGCCTGTTATATCACGTGGGTGTCAGTCTGTAGGCTTCAGTATGAGTAACTTCTGTGCTGCCTTTGTTACATGTGCCCCCCCCTGTTTGTCATGGCTCCCCTGTAACTGCAGAATACAGCTGGAAGCTTAGCTGTTCTTTGGCTTTGTGTGTGTGTGTGTGTGGGGCTGTATATTTAGCACGCAGGGAGAGAGCCAGTGATGTCATCTGTAAAAAGGAAGGGGATTTCATGAGCAATGGAGGCTGGCTGGAGTTAGAAATGCAGGAGATCATCAAGTAACGGTTCAGGAGCATGTAGAAATGTGGGAGGAGATCAAGTAACGGTTCAGGAGCATGTAGAAATGTGGGAGGAGATCAAGTGACGGTTCAGGAGGATAGATAAATGCAGGAGGAGATCAAATAATGGTTCAGGAGGATGTAGAAATGTGGGAGGAGATCAAGTAACGGTTCAGGAGCATGTAGAAATGTAGGAGGAGATCAAATAATGGTTCAGGAGGATGTAGAAATGTGGGAGGAGATCAAGTAACATTCAGGAGGATGTGGAAATGCAGGAGGAGATCAAGTAACGGTTTTGGAGGATATAAAAATGTGGGAGGAGATCAAATAACGGTTCAGGAGGATGTAGAAATGTGGGAGGAGATCAAGTGACGGTTCAGGAGGATGAATATCAGAGAAGAGGAGCTGGAGAATGGTGGTAAATGTGTTTAAGTAGGTCACAGATTATTAATAGAGGTTCATCTGTGTGTCTAGAGGGAACGGGAGGGCGTGGGGGACAATGGGAAGAGGAAATAGGAATGAAGGAGGAAGTGGGAAATGGAAGGAGGGAGGAAGTAGGAAACAGGATTGAGGGAGGAAATGGGAATAGGAATGAAGGAGGAAGTGGGAAGTTGGAATGAAGGAGGAAGTAGGAACTTGGTCAAGATGGGCAAATACAGTACAAAACAGCAAAAGTAGCATGACATCAGATGGACAACATAGTACAACTTTTCACTTTCATTTGCTTATTGAAATGGAATGCAGTATTTCTGTCCACACATCCATCCATTCATCCGTCCATCCATCTTCCAATCTGCCTTCCTGGTCAGTGTTGTCCCAGGCAACACAGGGCATAGGGCTGGGGTACACCCTGGGTGGAATGTCAGTTATCAAGTATTGTACTTCTGTGGAGGAGACGCTGTGATGTTATCCTCAGAAGGGTATCAGCCCGCTGATAAGGGAGTCTTTTCTTTGTCCAGCCGAGATGAATCTCTCCCAGTCTGGGTGGGCTGTCCCTGTCTGGAGATGCAATCACTTTTACCTTACAGTCTATCTGCCCTTTCCTCTCTCTTTCACGCTCTCTTCCTCTGTCTACTGTTCTCTGGTTCTCCCACTCTCCTTTCCATTTCCCACAGACCTTGCTGGTTCTGTCGAGCCTGTCAGCCATTGCCTTGCTTCTGTCCCTCCTGGTTGTTCTCTGCTTCCTGATTCACTACTGCTGCTGTCACCGTGCCGACGGGGGCTCTGGCTCTGAGGAGGACGAGGATGAGGACACCAGTGGGGGACGCGGATATGGTGGCGGGAAGCAGGCGGGCATCTGCTGTGTCACCTGGGTCTCGGTGACAGCTGTCACTCTCTGCTGGTGAGATCGCCTAGCAACCATGCTGCGTTCCGGAATTCGAGGAAATTGATGTTGACATGTGTGGCACTAAGGGCTCCTGTCATGTTTGCAGTCTGTGGTTGTTCACTGGAAAGTGCAAATAACTTCTCAGAACGAGGGTTAATTCTCTCTGCATAGCAACTTCCTGTCACTTTTGCTTTTATCTGAAGTCATAAGAGCCCATGAGCATAAAATAGAAGCTTCAGGAAGTGGTGATAGAGGACCGTTGTCACCAAAGAGAGAGGCGATGTAGTCTGGTATCGAATCATGGGATACTGTGATGTTCTTGCTTCTGTTTATCTCAGATACTATTTAGTAGTTTTTGTCCCTAATGTGAATCTCACATGAAACTATTAGGGTTTCAAAAATGCAGAGAAAATTATATTCTCTGATATTTTTTTTAAACCTTTTTATGTGTTTTATACTTAAGGTGTGTTGTTTATGCATTTAAAGACCTATCTTAAACAACCGTGTCTTTAAAAAGTCATTTCATACTTCCTTGTAATTTTCTGGTCCTTTAAAAACCCTTGGCTATTAAATGGATTGACTCATTAGTTACATTTTCATAAATAGTAAACTGAAAAACTAAAGCTGAATCTTTCACACTAAGTCACCAAGTTTTACCTGGCTGTATAGCATAACAATAATGTAAAGGTTAGTGATTGCACTTACAGCTTGGTCCAATCAATAACAATAGATGACCCCTTGTTGCAATGCCAGGATTTAGGAAATAGGATTAGAAAATAAATTATCTTGCGTATTCCAGTAAATAGTACCAGTCTGTTCATCCCTGTCCATCTAAGCAGAATTATGACAGACAGACCCCCCCCCTCCTTCTCTTTTTTCCTTACTTTAGTTTTAGCAAATAAATGTCACCCCCTCCTATTTTTCCTTCTGCCTCTTTGTCTCTCTTTTTTCCTTTTCCAATCTGGGTCACATACTTCGCAAGAGATTGGACTGTACCATTTTTCACAGGATTAAGGGGTATTAACAAATACCATTATTTGGATGTATAAATGACACAAAACTTGGCGTACAGATATTACTGGACCAAACATATTCCAACCCTTTCCTACCCATGTCTTACTCTTGTTCGCATCCTGTCTAAAGTGCGCACACCAACTGAATATGGCGCTCTCTTGTTTTTTTTTGTAGCGTTGCCATTGGCATTGGTTTCTATGGCAACAGTGAAGCCAACGATGGGATGTATCAACTGACCTCTTCGCTTCTCACAGCCAATTATACACTGGGCTCTATAAATCTGCTGGTGAGGCTCTGCATAATAGATTAAGAATTGTTCATTCTCAGGGACGCTCGTGGGAAAGTTCTTGTTTTGCTCAGCCTGTCAGGCGGCCTCTGGTCTAGGCGGTCGTGCCGCTGCGCACCCCGTCTCTGCTCCCCTCTCATCTCCCACGTCTGTTCAGGTGTCGGACACGATCGCGGGGCTACAGCTCTCTGTTTCCGGACCCCTGACCACGCTGGAGGAACTTTTCAGCACCAGCATGCCGTTCCTGGTGTCCACTCGCACCTGTAGACGCCTGTCGGAGACGGTGGTGACCGCCCTCTCCTCCCTGACGCTAGGCCCGCCCCCCAAGATTCCCCCACTGAGAAGCAGAGGGATTAATGGCAGCAGCATGCTCACCCCTCTCCCTCCCACCCTCATGCCCCCCTCTCTTGCCCCCCCTCCCACTATCCCCGCCTCTCCTGTGTCTGGGCCTTTCTCTCCTGGCTGGGCAGCCAACACACTGATGGTGAATGAGGACTACAGGTGAGCAGACAGGGTTGCGCTGGACGGGCCCCCGCATTCTCCTTGCTGCCCACACCCTAAGGCAAGGTTCTGAAAGTCAGCAAGTTTATTCGGACCTAGTCGGTAATGCACCTTATGAATCAGTATGGTTAATGTGAAAAGGCTGAACGTGGTTTGAAGCACAAAAATACAATGTAGAACCACCAAATTTTGCAAACACATAACTCAACATAATCCCCCCCCCCATAAAGATAGAGAGTCTTAATGATCAGTGAGAGGTAAAAAGTTCGTTTTCATTTTTGTTATATAATTGATGCCTATATGGAAAGTTACTGTTAAATCATTAAAGTTCATGAAATGCTGTTTTGTTATTCAAAATTGTTCCGAACTTCTGAACAAAAATGTGATGCAGACTTTTGATCAGACAGCATAAGAAGCCAGCCCTACCCTAAGTGCTGGGCCCCGTATGCTGTCGAGGCTGTGCTGAGTGCCCATCTTCCCGTGTCTTTCTGCCTGGGAGATGTTCTCACACTCTGCCTTCCCCAGGTGGCTGTCTTACGTGCTGCTGCTGCTGCTGGACCTGGTGGTGTGCCTCTTCATCCTACTGGGACTGGCAAAGCAGGCACGGTGGCTCCTGGTCCTGTGAGTATGGACGTATACACACTTCCAATAGAGAAATGCTCAATGAAGTTTTACTTACAAAAAAAAAAAAATTGTGATGTTTGAAGGAAAAAAGATTGGTTCAGAAAAATAACCCAATCAGATTGTAGAGGAGGTGGGTCCAAGCAACTGGAGGACGTGGGACCAAGACAACTGATTGGTTGATCCCGCCTACTCTAGTTGCTTGGACCCACCTCCTCTACAATCTGATTGGTCGTCTCTCATTTTTTGTTCTTCCCTCAGAACATTTTTGGGTAAATAAAACTCCCATGAACTAGAGAAACAGATTCCATCCATCCATCCATCCATCCATCCATCCATCCTTTAATCCCGGTCGAGGTCATGGGAGACACAGATACTGTATGGCTGTAAGCCTTGCTCTCTTTATGGTGCTGGTGTATAATAGTGGTGGCACCATAATGGGTGTTCTCCTGCTTTCAGGATGACTGTGCTCGCATGGCTGGCCCTCTTCCTTAGCTGGGGCTCCTTGGGGCTGGAAACTGCTACTGTGGTGGTGAGTATCATAGCAACCGCAGTCAAGGAGGCGAGCAAGCAGAGCTGGGGGGATGGGGGGCACTGGGCCGTGTTCGGCATGGCAGCGCGAGCCTGTCAGGCACCCTGCCAGGGAAGCCAAACACAGCTGCTGTCACGCTGTGTGTTACTGTCAGCGTGTGAGGCTGAGAGAGCGTGCTCCCCTTTGGGTGCTATGGATACAGCGAGCGACGCTGCACGGGAGCCGGGCCCGAGCCCGACGATGGGTAACGGGGGCCAGAAACAGATGACTGTTGTATGAAAAAGAGATATTTTCATGAGAGGGTACACAGAACTGATTAAATTTATAAAGACGTTACTGCAGTGAATGTGTAATGTACTGAAAGAAGGCTGGCGATGGGATTGTCCCGCTTCTGTGAAAGGAGAGGACGAGTGTGAAAAGGGACAGTGTTTCTGGGAGCTAGGGAGAGATGTCAGAGCCTGTCAGTTCACAGAGCCTCGCTGTCTTTATCCGGCAGCAGCGAACAATCCCATAGCTGTCAGGCCTCTCTCCGCTCCTCTCACTGAAAGCCCATTGATGTCCTCCCTGGGAGGGGGGGGGGGGTTTAACCCTTCGCTTTACAGCATTCACTTTAAATATGAATCAGGGCATGCCAACCTGTATCACGCAGTAAATCGGGTAACGTCGCTGTGAGTCAGGTGAGAAGTGTGTCAGTTGGTCAGTGTGTCTCTGTCAATCTACCTTCTCCCTCTCTCTTTCTCTCCCCCTCTATCAGGGTCTAAGTGACTTTTGCTCTGATCCCAACACCTTTGTAGTCAACTCCTCTCATTTTAATTCGGGAACCAGCGCAGGTAATGGATATTACTGTAATCAGCACATGGAATCTGCATTCTAGGTCTGAGTGGCCATTAAATGAATTGCACTCTCTTGAAAACCAGAAATACTGGATTACTACCTGACGTGCAGCAAACAGATGAGCAGTCCTTTCCAGCAGGTAATGAATCATTCCCAGTGCGATCTATAGCAGTGCAGAATCAATTATTGTGTATTTAGTGACCTTCCCTTCTGGGTATTATAATCTGTGTATATGACTGCAGCACCTTAAAGAGTATGCTAACCAGTGCCTCAATGGTTCCCAGTTGCTGACCCAGTCCCAGAGGGCGCTGTCCAGCATTCACACACACCTCTCCAGCCTGGAACGAGAGGCCCTCTCACAGTTCCCTAAAGCAGAGGTACACCCGGGTAACATCCTCTGGAGGGATCAAACAGCACTGGCAGACAAACTGGCTTTTTTGCTGAATATTTGCAGTGAACGTTGTGCGATGGACTTTCTCGTTTTTGCACAGAGGCCACTTAGGGAGGTCCAGCTGATCCTCAATGCGACGGAGAGTAACTTCCACCAGCTCGTCGCTCTGCTGAACTGTCGAGGTCTTAACAAGGTACTGGACCTGGAAGAGACTATCATAGGCGCAAAAGAACATCACTGGAGCAGGATAGGACTGCTTGTCAAGTGTTCTTTGAAGGAAAAACCTTCCTGGTTTTTATGTGAAGTGTTTGGATCATTTGCAATTATTCACTCTTGTCATGTAAGGTTGACTTTTGTTGGACGAATAGGAATCAGAACAGTGTCTCTAGTAGAGGGTCACTTGAAGTGCTTTCATTTGGTTCTTAAGTGCTAAAGATCATTGCAAACCAGTTACAAGGAAGCTTGATTCTACGGAAAAAAGAAAGACCGATTCTTAGAAGGCTAAAGGCCACAGATATTCTGCACACACGAGAAGTGCATGGCATGGAAAGATGGTGACGTGCAACAGCGTTCTGCCGTGACCTACATCAGGGCAGCAGCAATGACAGACTCTGCTTATTTTTGGGGTCATTACCCCCCCTTGCAGGTCAGAAATGGATACTGCAAGATAATGACTTAAGCCTCATTCAGGGGTGGGCAACCTTTTAGTCAGCTGATCAAGCCGAGATGTGAGGACTCTTCCAATCAGTCCTCTATTTAGTAATCTAACTATGAAGTTGCTGCAAAATGACACATACACAACGGCCCTTTCTGGATAAGATTGCCCACCCCTTTAGCGTCCATGTGTCTACTAATGACAGGAATTTTGTAGGGTAGGCAACAGATTTATGCTTGAGGTCAGTACAGGCATGTGAACCCACAGGGCTCAAGAGATGCCATCCATCTAATGCGAGCTAACATGGAGTCTTAGATACAGGGTCCATGAGTGTAGGGCATAATACTGATTTGTGAACAAAAACATGCCAAATATAAGCAATGTGGGAATTTTACAATACGCCTCTTCTTGGCCTAGAGCAAGACGGAACTGTAAAGCCTCATTGAGAATTTTTTTAAAAGGACCCCTTTAATGAGCGTGACACAAAGGGTTTTGCATCATGGATGATTCGGGGGTGGGGGAAATACTCACATTCTTTGTGTTTTGGCCAGTGGAAAATATCTGCGGTACACCGAGCTGAATTAAGCTACAGCAACATGCGTGACAGAGCTGCGCTTGAGTTACAACAGCTTGATTGACTTGGGATTGGCTGTGTGCCCACCTGTCTGTCTGTCCATCCATACACGCATCGGTCTGTCCGGCTGTCTATAAACAAATGAATGGATACAGAGGAGAGGATGGACCTGGAGAAGCATGCTGGCTGCTCCCAATTTCAGGAGGGGCCAGACTTTAATAGTAGCCCGGTCCAAGGTGTTTCATTTATTTACTCTATAAGAGAATGAGATTTGCCAGCTTTGTTGGACAAAACCATGTGTTTACAACTATATGCACATGAGCAGAGGGCGTGGGTGCTGGGAGCGTTAAGGAGGTGCCAATGAATGTTGTTTTGTCTACATTCAGTGTGTTCTTAACAATTACAGACGTGTGAGATCTGGGCACAAAGAGCTATTTGTACAACTGGCGAGGAGCTAAGGGTTTTCTGGAGACCAGCGTGTGAGGACACTGTTCTGGGTCGGGCCTGGGCCACGCAGCTGCTCAAAGGGGCAAAACGTGGGCTGTTCCTCACCACTTCTCTCCTGGCTTCCTCTTTGCCCATTAGTGATTTCTTGGCTGTAGGGCTTTTCCTGAAGACAAGGTACTGCAGGACTCACACTGGTGCTGAGGTGTTTATCAGTTTATTGTCAGTTTTGTTGGCTGCTTGCATGAAAAGGCGAGCGTAAGAACAGTGTCTCCCTGCGTCCATCACACATGAAATGCAAATATCAGCCTGCGGTGAATTTGTGATGCTTTCATATTTATATTCTGGTGACACGTTTTTGGTTTTCGTAAAATATGGTTCACAGAAAGTCTTGGGACGCTTGCTAATTGAGTAAAAATATTGCACATTTAGTGGCTTTATAACAAAATCATTACTTTATTCTTTTATTACTTTATTCTTACAAAAAAATGTATATGACATTAGAAATAAGTTTCAAACATTTGGTTCAAGTAGTACTAAATTGAAACCCAAACTTTAATTCTACAAGAGCTGTTCTAAGTTAAAAAGTTAATTGACAAGCAGCTTCACTGGGTGCTTTTTAATTAGTGACACCTTTGCAGTAACAAAAAACCAAACATTTGTGTTTAGTATCCCTTTGGGAGCCAGTGACTACAGCTGCAATTAATAGCAAAATTGCAAGAACAGAACTGAATGAGTCAGTCAATTATGACACTAAAGAGAGAATGTCTGTGTGGGACATATGTGTAGATGTGTTAAACTTTGCTTGTCAATGGACTTTTGTTATGAAACCAATAAATTTAGCAAGCGTCTCAACACTGCACATCAGCTCATTCCTGTGCCATGCTGTCATTCTCAGGATTACACGGACTCTCTGAAAGGCCTGTGTTTTGATGGCATAGAAGGGCTGCTCTGTCTCTCGCTCTACTCCTTCCTCTCAGCGCTGGCATTTACCGCCATCCTCTGCTCTTTGCCTGGGGCCTGGAGGAACTTCCCCAGGTAAGTCAATCAGCAAGCAGCCCCCCGTCTACCTGAGTCTGTGCCGCGTGATTTATTTAAATGTCTAAGTGCTTCCGGTCAGTCATCTCCACATAACCATCACTACAAATTCTCTCAAGCCAACTATCCTCCCTTGTGTTAAATTTGTATATTTGTATGATTAATTGATTTCTGTTTCTCCTTGGGTGGAGTAGTGATTTGGAAGAGTATGAAGACTCCGACAGTGAGAATGAGGACCCCTTCACTTCCCATCAGGCACGTAGACAGACGGCCATGGGTCCCCAGCGTGGGGCTCTACCCACCTTCTATAGTTACCAGGGGGCCAGCTGGATTCCCCCGTTTTCTAGCGCACCGCCCCTCCCGTGAGTAACAGACGCAGACACACAGACAGACAGATAAACAGTAACCGTCGGCTGATTTACTAACTGACGTTAATGTGCATGGCTGTCCACTTGCTCAGTGTACATCATTTTGTGAGCCATTAGACAGACACCAGCATTAAAGAACTAAAGAAAAGGCTGAGCTGATGCTTGCTAATGAAACGACAACTATAGTGTTTAACCACAGCAGCGGCTATGTAGAACTGACTTACATGGGCAGTAATTTTTGAAGTATAAATTAAACCTAAGCTGTCTGACGCCGACTGAAAACATAATATGACTAACTCTGACTCTGCAGTCATAGACATCAAGTAAACCGGCTAACTGTATGAATGCGCTTCCTGGCAGTGTAATTATAAAGCCTATTTAAAGAAACGCAGGCGGATGCACTGACAGGCTCTCACAGCAAAACAAAACGCAAATCTGTCTGTCTGTTTGTGTGTCTGTCTGCCAGTCTGTCTTTCAGTGTAAGACAGGCATAGATTGGCCACTACGAGACAAAACTCATATTCAGAAGAACTATGACCTTATGTAGGTAAATGTTTCCAGGCACCCCCCCATCCCCCTTCTGAGCACCATCTGTATAGTAACAATCCACTCTTTACAGTCTGCATATATAATAGATGTGAGGTGTCTACCATCTCAAAACCCATGTTCAAATCATACATGTGGCATGTACAGTTTCCTAGTGATGGACAAAATGACACTTCATGAACCATTTGCTATATTCTTTGACCCCACTAGATGGTGCTCTCTTCAGAAAAGGGCACAAAGCATGCCCCGTAGCAAACTAATAGCACCATCTAGTGGGGTCAAAAAATACAGCAAATGGTTCACAAAGTGTCATTTTGTCCTTCACTAGTACTTCCTATAATGTATACATTTAAAATATATTTTATGAAAATGATTTCTGAGTAAACTAAGCCATTCTGTCTTTGTCTCTGTTCTCTGTTTTTAATACCGCCGTGTTGCTCAGGTACATCCGCATTGCACATCGCTCTTTTCTCCTTCCAGATTATGCCAACACAGATACTAATCTCACCACCCCTTTCTCCTTTCCCTTTACCCCAATGAAATGTCCCGCTTCTCTCCCTGCTTCCCCCTGCGCCGCCCCCCCCTTTCCACCTCCGTGTCCTGGCAGGACTCCAAACGCTTCCTGCAATGGCAGCCCTGGCTATGAGGCCATGCCCCTGGTGGCCAGGCGGCCCTCACCTCCCTCCGTGAGTTCTTCTGCTCTGCCGACTTTCCCACCATGATGGCTATTAATGCAAGCTCGTTTTCAGTGATGCATGTTTGTTGATTTTTATACCTGTGGATTTATTGGAATCTGATGCAGAAACTTAACTTCACTATAAGACCCAATGATTCACTGATCAGTTAACTGATACCACTTTGTTTGATTTATGGAATCATACTATCTTTCAACATATATGACATTCAGGAAATAACTGTTTTCTTTCTTCTCTGTCTTCCGAATCCCTTCATGATCTTCTTATGGATCAATGTTTCTGGCCGGACAGTATTCTCTCCCAGCATGTTAACTGGCTACAGGGACAGTGAATCAAAGCCAAGTCCTGCCCACTCAAGAAATTCGCATTTACACTAATTATTATATGTGTATAAGTATAGCAAATGTTCAGTTTCATAAAAATGGAAACATTACTGATACAAAGAAGCTAATCTCCATACATAAAGTTAGTAACATTATTACCGTTGATTTGAGTTTTAAATGAATGGACCCCTTGATTGGTAAGCCCCATCCCTTTTTTCCAGTAAATATCAGGGATTTAATAAGAGAACTGAGTCCGGGAACCATGAGCCAGTCAGTCTTTGTGAACTGTTTCAAGGTGGTGGTGGTGGTGGTGGTGGTGGTTTTATCCGATCACAAATGTGTTTTTATATTGCATTAGAAATTACACATTTTCAGTGTTACCGGTTTGCAGTTTCCTTACTTTTTGGATCTCTTTTCCCCTGGAAGATCATGCTAAATAACATGCAGATTCTTAACCTTGACCTTATTATTGTAATAATAACGTGTGTGGGTGCTGCTCCCAATAACTTTGGGCTGAAGCAGACAGAAGGATCAAACGGGGCCGCAGTGCAGCTCCAGTGAGTAACAGATGAGGATTTCTGCTTCCTGACACATGGTGTCAATAGCAATAATGCAAACAGAAGAGAGTGGTACAGTGTCTGTGTTTGTAGGAGCTCTCCTCCTGACGGTCTGTATATATAGCATGCTGGAGATTGTACCCGATTCCCTTTATCAGCCTTGTCGATCCTTAAACTGAGTTTGTATGGTATTAATGCTCCTTTTGAATGGCACTGTTTTTCATTACAGATTCTACTACAGATAAATTAATAATAAAATCTTGTCTTGGCAAGTATGCAGAAGTGAAGCCTCATGTCTCTTAATCAGCACAGCCATTGATCCACGTCAAATGAGTCAGTCAGAATCGCTACTTCGTATAAATATCAACAGTTAATTTTATTGTTTGCAATTCCACTGAGCCCGAGTGAGTGCGTGAGAGGGCGCTCTCATTCACTGTTATGTGCATAGTCGAGTGGGTAGAGACAGATGAACAGACAGACAGACTCCAGATACCACTTGGCTATTTCCTGGCAACTATACTGTACCTGTTCTCTGCATAGGTGACCAAAAACATAGATTTCATTGCATTTTTCTCAAAGGTACAGTGCATAGGTATATAAATAGACAAGACAGCTAATGCATCAGTTGTAAAAATTTCAACACAACCGGGTGGTCTGTAACAGCTCTTACCAATAGACCACGTGTAATCCCCCCCATTTCAAACAGTCTCCTGGGCATTCTCTCTATGTGTGCGTGCATTTGTGTGGGACTTCATAAATGTTTTAACACTCATGTAGTGTCTCCAAAAAGTGGTTCTTTTATAAAGGCTTTCAGTCTGATATACCATTTTTTTTAAACTGGAGTTAAGAGTTCCATCCTGAAGAAAATGCCTTAGTGTCCCTGAAGTATCACTTCTTTCTCTCGTCGGTGGTCAGCCAGCTCCCGTCTTCCTCCACCTCCCTTTGGACAACCAGGAGCATCTCTGACACGTCCTGAGATAGCTGCTCACTGAGGAAGGTACTAAACGAAAGACAAAGAAAAGCTTAGCACTATGCTAACTGCTGAGACTAAGCACTGCGTTAAAGCTTCTAGGAACTCTATATATACTATATAAAAATATATTTTTACAGATGCTCACTGAATAGTCATGTGGTCAGAATTCAAGTTCCTACATCTTTTGAGGTCCAGCATGCAACCCTGATTTTTAACAATCTGTATAAAGTGAAGAGGATTTGCTCATGAAGGCATAATCAAATGAGGTTAAACTGGATTACACAAACATATGAGCCTCAAATGGCACATGGTGCCTTTAAGATTTGATGTAAACAATTTTATTTAATGCTTCTGAAATGCCCTGCAGCAGGTACACATCAGATGTCAAAATAAATAATGACACTCATTAAAGAAATCCAAACTGCAACTACACTTTGCATATGACACACAAATTTAAAAGATGTTTGCAAACAAGTCCTAATACCACAGATGAACCAAACTCCTTAATTCCGTTACATTCCCCATTCTCACCAATCCTCTCCCCCACTGCCATCCTTCTCACCGAAGTTCAGCTTCGCCTCCGATGCAAATGGGATTCTTAAGCTTAGAGTCCAGATTATAGTAGGATCCACTGACTTGCTTCACGGCCAGCCAGTGCCTTCGCCTGAGAGGGAGGGACACCATTCCCAGTGAGACCCGGGAAGGGACGTTCAAGATGAAACCCTGCACCTGGTCTGCACACAGACACTGTACAGACCTGAGAGAATGAAAGACAGAAGGAAGGGCAATGTTTCCAGAAACCCTGAAACCAAATACCAATTAATCATAGAGTTATGGCAATGTTTTATGAATCATCATATCTTATTGGCTTGTTTGCCGACTTGAACTCTAGTAAAGGTGTTCTGCCTACACTCTACATTTTACAATAAATGTTACAATAACTAGTCGGACAAGCCGGTCAACTGCATGCACGTCAGACTGTAACAAAAGACAGACACCCTAAGGATCAAGGCAGGTGTGAGAGGATCAGTCATAATACGAAATGGTTCGGGTCATACCTTCGTTTGTCCCACCATACTGCAGCCAGCCCCCGACTCTGAAGTGCGGCCATAATCACGTTAACATCGTAGTTCCCTGTCCCTAACATTGAGCGATGAGGATTCACGACACACTGCGGCGCCAAACTATAAGAGACGGAATATAAAATGCACTTTGACAAAATTGCAGATCAGAGAGAGGCGCGACAGTGAATCCGATGACCGAAGTGTACAGAATATTAACTTGAGGTCCCGTCTGCGCAATGGATTAAACGGGAGCAGTAAAATTACAGCATCGTGGAGATGGAACACAACGAGAAGCAGAACAAGGAGTGAAATATGCCAATTTCATCATACACAAGGAGCTGCACCACCCGGAATGCGGTCCTGTTGCACGATGAGATTACCGCTTGCATATCTCGTCGGCTGTCTCCTTCGTGAAGACTTTCTCCTGAAGTACGTTGTTCAATGCATGAATGGCACACAGCTCCAGCCTCTGCTTCTCGTGGAAAACTTCTCCTTCGCTCATGCTCGTCCCTGCCGAGCAGAAAGGTAGCTGCAACGGTCCCCGCAGTCGGTGCAAAAACGTACACTATTTGGGGGAAATATGACAAGTATTATAAAATTCACTAGATCTCATAACTGGGCACTTCAAGAACATGCATATGAATGATGCTGCATCAGATACTCCAAGCTGCAAAACACAGCACTAATATAAGTTACTGCACGCAATATGAAAAAAATGCAGCAGAAACGTATCAGAAAATATGTGGTCGTCCTTGACACACGTTAATAGTTTTAATATCTGCATATTAATGGTTGTCACTGTAACAATATAATTACCGTATTTGTAGCTGCAGCAAATGCTGAGCTAGCGGTGTAGCTAGCTAGCTACTAAGCAACTGTAAAGCGGTAGTTTCAAATCAAGCTCAAATATCTCATTCTTGCACGCTGACACTTAAATAGTTTTCATGCTATAGCAAATATTAACATCAATAACTATGATTAAACTCGAATCTTTTAGAGACAAAATAATCTGCTCTATAATTCTATTAAAATTAGCCACTAATTCCTTTTGTGGACTTGTGAAAGCGGAAGTCGTCTTGTTTTTATTGCAAATCGTTAACGCCCATTTGAAGGGTGCGCGCTACTGAGGAATTCACGTGTCAGTGGCGCATGCGTATAAAAACACCGTGGCTAGGCGAGTCCGCGTGGGAAACCTGAACAGCTTTCAAAATATAATTGCAGAATGAATTGTTAATTACTCCACAAAGCCCCAGTAAAGCAACGTCGTTTAGTGTGAAAACTGTCCTATCCATAATTTCTTTAGCGCGCCCAAATGGTGTTCTGATATCGTCACATGCATTGGCGATAGTGGGAGTTGTAGTTTATTTAGGCTTAGCCATTTTCAACTGCACAGTCACTTGTTTGCACATAGGATTCTGCGGAATACGGGAAAATCTGCTATACATATAAGAAAATGATTGTAACATTATTAGTTATGAGTATTATAAATGAATGACGTTTAGAATGTATAGCGTCGCTTCATAAAATTACTGTAATTCACGCGATATTTCCTTTAATGGTTTCATTTTATTACAGGTTAAAAATATCTCTTACAGTGTTTGAATATGCAGACACTCAGGCCACTGACACTACTCAGGAATGATTGGTATTGAGGTAAATTAATTTTATACTTGTTACACCAAGCTGGGTGCAAGGAATCTCCAGATGAGATTGGGAACTAATCCAAATACCTTATTTACTGCAATGGTCCCATTCGGAATACCCCCCAGCCCCTGTACCCTATGCAGCCTTGCATAAGTTGTTGAAAGATGTATGAACACATTCTGTTTTAGTGTTATCCTGATTCCAGTGAATTATATTAACACGGTAAACTGGCATATGCTGGCTATGTTGGTCTGGTAAGTTCTGATGCTGAAGTGCACTCTAGTGGAGATTAATGTATGTTGCTCTATAAAAGTGACTGGTGCATTTTAACCATTTTGCCCCTATTTCAGGTTATGTAATCTTCACTGTCCTCGCAAAACTGTACAGTCTGATAGCTAATTTAGACTTTGGGTGGAATTAATGCCCGAAAAAATGTTAATGTTAAAAAGACTTATAGTAATTTCTACAGACAGTTAGATACTTATAAGGGGTCAAACAAAAACACACATAAGAATACAAAAAGTACCAAAAACAGAAAGTTGAAATCATACTTTATTTCAAATAAAGAAACTAGTTGGAAAAGTTAGCCTTAAACTAGTTTTAGTAAAAGTGCAGGTATTGCAAAGTAGTGGGAAGGGGGTGTTCATCATCATCATCTACCGCTTTTCTGGGTCGGGTCACGGGGACAGCAGTCTAAGCAGGGAAACCCAGACTTCCCTTTCCCTGGCCACTTCGTCCAGCTCCTCTGGGGGAATCCCAAGGCATTCTCAGGCCAGCTGGGAGACATAGTTTCTCCAGCGTGTCCTGGGTCTCCCCTGGGGCCTCCTCCCAGTGGGACATGCCCAGAACACCTCACCAGGGAGGCGTCCAGGAGGCATCCTGACCAGATGCCTGAGCCACCTCATCTGGCTTCTCTCCATGCGAAGGAGCAGTGGCTCTACTATGAGTCTCTCCCGAATAACCAAGCTTCTCACCCTATGTCTAAGGGAGAGTCCAGCCACCCTGTGGAGGAAACCCATTTCAACCGCTTGTATTCGCGACCTCGTTCTTTCGGTCACTACCCACAGCTCGTGACCATAGGTAGGGTAGGAACATAGATTGACTGGTAAATCAAGAGCTTTGCCTTTTGGCTCAGCTCCTTCTTCACCATGACAGACCGATGCAGCGCCCACATCACTGCTGATCCCGCACCAATCTGCCTGTTGATCTCCCACTCCATCCTTCCCTCACTCGTGAACAAGACCCCGAGATACTTAAACTCCTCCACTTGGGGAAACACCCCCTTCCCGACTCCACCCTTTTCCGGCTGAGGACCATGGTCTCGGATTTGGAGGTGCTGATTTTCATCCTAGGGGCGTCACAGTCCGCTGTGAACTGCTCCAGTGAGAGCCGAAGGTCACGGTCTGATAAGGCCAACAAAACCACATCATCTGCAAAAAGCAGAGACCTAATCCTGAGGTCACCAAACTGGACACCCTCAACGCCCTGGCAGTGCCTAGAAATTCTGTCCATAAAAGTTATGAACAGAATCGGTGACAAAGGGCTGTTCAGGAGTGGGAGTAACTAGTCTTATTCTATGTAATCTATTACACATGTATGTG